ATTATTAAAGGAACTTCCGTGGAGATTGAATTTACAAATCTTTTGATCCTGTTAGTTGTGGTTTTGAAGCGCTTTGTTGTTATTGCTACAGTCTGTGCGACAAGTGCATATGATATTAATTTGGAGTCTGAAATTACTTCATCTTGCATGACCGTCCAGTTCATGATCCGGTGAGCCAGAGCATTATTTGCAAGCGTTAAGTCGGACCATCCTTTTCCAGAACTTGTTTCGAATGTCAGTGGGGCAGAATCTTCATTTATTAATGCTAGATTGTAACTATTAATAAAATCTTCAACTTCTACTCCCCTTTGTTCAGTACGAGAGTAATCCCATATTTGGTTATGGGCTTTAAAATCTCCTCGAATGATGTGGAGGGAACCGGGGAATCTATTGATCATGTTACCTAGTTGGTATAGGTTTGTAGATAGTTCCTCTGCTGGAGAATTATAGAAGGAAGTGATGAGCAGTTCTTCCTTTGAAGTGTTTAAGGCTATTGTTACTAAATCTTTAGAGGTAAATATTGTTGATGGGGACCAATTCTTGTTGTAGCATATGATAGCTGCTCTTATTTGATTTTCTTTTCGTCTTGGTGTTGGATTAAATTCCAGCTTGACCGAATAGCGCCAACTTTACCTCTTACGCAATAAGGCTCTTGAATGAGCACTATATCATAATGGTGTTCTGCCAAGAAAAGTTTTTGCAGATGATGCTTGGGCTCTTTGCAAATTAATTTGGAGAATCTTGATTTTAGGTGCATTTTTTTGCTTTATTAGTGTGGTTGAAGGAAGAGGAGTCATTGTTTTGCTGACTCGCTACTCTTTGCTTCCTTACTTTGATGTACCGTAGTCTGTTCTTTCCTTGATCTTTTGTATTTAACGATGGTAGGGAGCTATTATTACGCTCGGATGTACTTTAGGCCCTTGATAGCTTCGTAGTCAAAGACGGAGTTTTGTTAACCTTTAGTTGGAATAACAAAGGGTTATTTCACCCTTCTCACTTGTTGTTTTCTACCTCACGAACCCAAGCGATTATTCGCTTACTAGTTCTTAAGATTCTTGAAATTCAACTGTAACTTAGAAGTACACAGTGGAGAATCCTACAAAGTTAGATGAAGAAAGCAATACAGTAAAGTACGCTATGCTGACACTGAAAATACTCGACTCGCGCGAAACAATTCTAGAAGAATTGAAAAGGGAGCCGGAATTAAAAAATATTTATTATTACCTAAAAGATCCGAATCATTTTGAATACCCGGATATTACGGCAATTAGAAACAGAGCCGAGAAATACGAACTCATTGATGATCTGTTATTTTATTCAAATACTAAAGGTGGCAGGTGACGAAGAACAGGGTCACCTCTGACGTCTACCAGAGGTAAGCAGGTTCATGCCCCTCCTCCTCCACTATCCATCGCTTGTTGAAGAATTTAAGGATTTATGTGAGAAACAGGGCGTTACAGAGGCTATGTGGCTACAAATTTGGGAACAGAGGGTGCAAAAAACATATTGCAAAGCTAGAATATAAAACATAGAACATAAAGCGTAAAAGTAATGCAATGAATAAGCAGTGCAATATAAAACTCCATAAGTAGTAAATAAGTAATAAAATAAATAAATAATGCAATGAAAAAATAGAGCAATATTAAATAAGTAGTGGAATGATAAAGTATATTTAGTAGACAGGCGAGGAAGAGCGGGGACACCTGCCTTCTAAAATAGATAAGCAGGTATACGTTCCACGTGCTCCTCTGGCTAGAGGCAATCTGGATCTCATAGGAGCAACCTTCGAGCGTTTAGACGAATACGAATGCAATGAGTACGTTTAAGTTCGTAGTCCACCTTACATTGTGATACGCATGATCATACTATGTTGCGCTAAACGTTCAGATTGCGCATGGAATGCGCTGCAGCTCTGTATTTCAGAAAGTATGCCCTTTTGTTGACTAAATCGAGGCAGGTCAGAAAGACAAAGTCTTATATTACCTGACAGATGTCCTGTTCGAGGCTTGAAATCGTGATGGTAGTCTGACGTATCTTATCCACAGTACAGTCACACGATTTTGTATTATAAAGAGTCTGTGAGTGTATACATTACTGAGGCACTGACGTGGGTGAGTGGAATTGGTGAGAGGGCATTGAGAGACGTAAAGTGGTCTGGGGAGCCATATACTCCGCAGATGCAGGTTGCAGTTTCGGAAATGCCAAAGCGAAGGAATAAACAGGAAACGGTCCGTGACCCCTAACAAAGTTGATGATTTGGAGGACGGACACGTGTCTTTGAAGGTTAACTTTTGGGAAGAAATCGTTATGTACGTCTCTCGGTATCACTCAAGTCTCATTCTTGTTGCCATTTCAGGGTGGGTTTTTGAAGCAGCTTCTTTTTCAAGTAAGAGAGAGGTGCCGGAATATTGATTTCATCTGCGTTTATGTTGTTAACTTGCCTCTTTAGCAAGTTTCTCGGCTGATTCATTCCCTATCAGACCTGCGCATGCTCTGACCCATACCAGTTGCATGTATTTATGCGCACTGCTTTTCAGAAGATTCTTTATGTTGACAATGAGCGGAGAGGAGTGGTTATTATTTACGACTGCCAGAAGAATGGACATCCTGTCTGAGTAAAGTGATGAAAAGACATGGCGAAGCCAAAGCTTATTCATTAACCGTTATTCTACCTAGAAAATACTGTTCCAGGATTGTAGATAACCCTTCCAAGTGTGAGTTGTATGTGCACAGTCGAAAAGTACAATGGCGATACCTGCTCCATCGAAGGCATTAGAGCCATCTTTACGGATGTAAAGATGGTAAGGTCTGCTCCTTGTATGTGTTGGTGGTGTCGATTGTTGTTGATCTCATCATGTGCTCAACCTGGGCGCGTGAGTAAGGCATTCATATATTACTGGGCTGAATCTTACACTATGGAAACTGGCATCACAGCTTAAGGCATTCATACTATACTGGGCTGAATCTTACATTATGGAAACTGGCATTAAATCTTAGCTGAATGATCCTGGTGTAGACAGCCTCGCGTTCTCGAATATGGAGGGGGATCAGCCCTGCGATGAAAATGGCGGCTTTTATGGCTGTTGTCCTGTACGCCTTGCACAGGTTCAGAGCAAACGGCCTTTGGATTATGAGGAGTTGTTTTTGTATTCAGCCCCTCACTGGCTGAGCCCACAGAGAAGCTACATAAAGGATGATGTCAATAACAGTGTTGTAGAGAATTTTGCGAATGCGGGAGTTATGTTCCCATATCGCGTTTAGAAATTGAAGAGCCTTCCATGCTACGGCTTCAGTTTAAACTGTTAAGTAATGTGAGTGAGGGATCTATGTGAGTTCTTTATTCCATGTACGACCCAAGAATTTTCATTTTGGGACAATCTTGATGCTCTTACCTTCAAGCTTGATGCTCTTACCTTCAAGCTTGATGCACTAAGAGAGTAGGAGAGGTGAACAACCGAAGAGAGGCCTAGGAAAGTTACAGCAACAGAGCCAAACTACAAAGAGGAGCCGACATCGAGATTACTAAGGACCAAACGGCAAGCGGAACAAGTCTTCGAGAGTCCAAGTCAACCAAGGAAATTTCAACATTCCTGTCTGCCTGAAATACGGAAGAGAGGACCACCGGGGAATTATACGTCCAGCCAACGAAAGCTGAGCCTGTGGAAAATTGTCAATATCTATGAAAAGTGCCAAGGCTTCGTGAACGGATGAAAAAGTGGAAGGATGAGAACTACGGAGTTGGATGAGAACCAGCGCCGCCAAAAGTTCTAAATACGCCAGATATACTCCTAACCCACATGGAACGACTTCGTGACAAGAAGAATATGAAGGATTAGAGAGAACAAAAAGATAACTGTAATTTTAATTTTTCCTTACTATGTTTCAGTTAGTTGATGGACTCTTTTTGAATTTTGGTCTCAATTGAAGTTATTTTAGTTCTGTAAAGAACAAGAAGCTCGGAAGTTTGCGATCTATCACACAGCTTTTAATTTTACACTAAAGCACACATATTAAATCTTCTGCATCAAATTTTGCAAAATCTTTGTATAACTCATGAAAGAAAGTTTTGAAAACTTTCAATATTAACTAACGTTTATCAGGCAATTATTTTGAAAAACCTTTTGGTAACATTGTGAGGTTGTCTTGCTAATAAGTTCACTTATATACCTAAATATATCTAATTAAGTTCTAATATTTACCTAAATACCAATATACCTAAATAAGTTCTATTTTAAGACGAAGGAATTTTAAAACGTTACTTTAGGGCGTAGAGAATACAGCTGAATATTGGCTTCCCCGCTGTCTTAGTTAACTGAAAGAAGATTTTAATAACTTTTTGAAGACAATTATCTAATTCTGATCGAAGAAAAATGACAGCAGGACTAGCAGAGACTTTCCTATTGTTTTTGATATAAATAACTGTAAGACACTCATGTTTAGAAGTCTATAGGCCATGCCAGAAATTTTAAAAATATTTGAAATGCTTTCTAAATCAGTCTGGTGGATGCTGTAGTGAATCTTATTTTCACCCAGTATGGTGAAGAAGAATATACAAATAAACGATACATAAATTTAATATATAAAAGCTATATAATTGCGGCATATAAGTCTGTTTATAAATATATATACAAGCATAAAGTATATAAGCCTGTCTATGAAAACGTATTTGTACGTTTTTTTTATTGTGTTGTCCTCTCAAAAGCCTAAATAAAAGTGGGCATTCAAATTTACATGAAATCTAAAAGTTTAAAATACACAAGAACGATATGTATATGTTTACATAATAGATTTTTCGTCTGATCTATGGTTCATATTCTATTTTTTTGATAACGTACTTTTGAAAATGATGAAAAAAAGGAAATTAGTTGATGATCATGGTTCTATCTGAAAGAAAAGTTAGAAAGCCTTAGAAGAAGTGAAGCCTTGCAACTGCTTATCTTTTAAGACAAGGTTTAACGGCTTAGCTTATTTGATTAAGAAATTAGGTTCACAGTTCGAGATGAGTATAAAATGGTCGAGTAAATCTGAGGAGTTCGCATTCGTGCAAAGCAAAGCGGTTCCTTGTGGTTCTGTTGGCTAGCATTTTTTGCAGGAGATTCACAGCGCTACTTGCGGGTGACTCTTGTAGATTTCAGAAACTCCGAGTTTCAGGTAAGTTCTTTCTTTTAATGGTATTCGACTGGGAGTAGGTTGTCATTGGTTTAATATACTTGCTAATAATATACGAAAGATTAGAGAGCACGAAAGCTTCTTTGTCTGTCCCATTAAGCATATGAACAGAATATTCTCCTTAGTTGCTGAATTTAAAATTAAAATTTTATTTACCATAAGAAAGAAATTTGGTGATTAATTCCTAAATTAAAAAGATTGTTGGTGATGTGAAATAAAACTTTAAACTTGTATTTGATCTAAAATCCACCTTCTGCAGTTAAATCTTATTCTTTTTGGTTCATACTAAAATTTGATTTTTAAAATATTTTTTAAAATCATTATAGGCTAAAGATGCACGTAATTTTCCTGCATTAATAATTCTGATTGATAAATTTTTTCCCTTTAATTCTATATGTTAGGAAGAGACTAGATGATTCTATCAACATTTTCATTTTCATAAAAGGCTGACTACTTCAGCTCCTAGCTCTTTAATTAGTTACACTTTTATAATATACGGCTTTGAAATAAGAAAATAAAGAAATATGCAAAGTGCATAATCAGTTATTATAAGTTAGTTATTGGTAACGGTACCAATAATCAGTCTCTTTTTTTAATGGATCTGATTTAAACAGAATTAAGAATGCTTACTTCCCTGTATCGCTATAAGCATATAATTCTTTACAGCCGAAAAGTCAGCATCATATGTGAAAAAAAGTATGCTGTTGGAAGTCTCCTTATGATGTCTTAAAGTTTCATATATAAAATGTAATTAATTTAATTTCGTTTAAGATGCACCTCTAAATGCATTTTTATTGCTGCCATTTTTCGATTCGGTAGTTAGAAGTATCGTCTGTCATATCGTCGGGCCTGTGTTCATATCTTGGAAAAGGCAAGAATGACTGTAAATGCATAGTGGTGTGGGAGTATAAGACCACTGAAGTCTCCTAGACGTAAATGTCGGTGAAGTCTCCTAGACGTAAATGTTTCTGAAGTCTCCTAGACAGGTTGGTGCAAAGAGGGTAAAAGACTCATATATTTAGTTTCTCGGAGAAGCTTTCCATCAAAAGCAATCAACAACAGAAGGGAATTTGGAAAAATAGTCTTGTCATTCACTAGGTGGCAAAGATCTTGGCCAAGGATACACGCTCTCTTCATTTCGAACACGATTTGAGTACAATAAATCAGAATAAGCAAGAATACTACAGCACGGAATTTTATTAACATGCTCACTTAACATTTTCCCTGTTGAAATACGTTCTAGCTTCCAGATAATTTATATTTATTTCAGAGGAATTAAGAAAGAAAATGATAATAACTAGTTCAGGTTTTAATTTAAGAAGCATATTTCAGTAAATTAACAAAGGTAGACGAAAAACGGGAGGAAAATTTAATACGAAATACAATCAATACAAAGTAAAATATTACTTTTTAAGACTAAACGCTAATGACTTTGCTCTTTACCTCTTCTTTACTGGAGAATGATTGACTAAATTGGCTATTATAAATTAATGGGCGGAAAGCAAAATGAAAATAATATATATATATATAAAAAGAATTATAAACGTTTAACGTATAGATTACATTCTGATGATTACTAGGTTGAGAACTCTCATGTCAAAGCAAAACACATCGTGTTCACCTAACTATTATATAACTGCTTTTTATCTTTCTTCATTTTTTTTTCTTTTTTTTCTTTTTTTTTTTTTTTTTTTTTTTTTTTTTAGTTTTTTTTTTTTTTTTTTTTTTCGGGGTAGGGAATAATATGGCAAAGAATCTGAGGGTTATCTACTCCTATTCGTGGAGGGTGGAGGATTTTCTAAGCAACAATGACTCTTATTTACCTCACACAAGAAAAATCGGGAAGAACTCATGGTGCTAACCGGGTCACTGGGATTTAAACCCATGTCGAATTTCGTTTAGTACTTACTTATCGGTCTATGCTACTACCAGTACTGAACAATTTTAAGCACTCGGCCACTGACGGGCAATACAGAATAGTTTCAGGGTAATTATTGCTACAAAAACTTGTAGCGTTGCGTGCCTCCAACTTGCACGCAACCAAGAGGTGACTGTGAAAACTGGATAAAAGACAGAGTCTTGTTAAGGGTTTAAGTCCCTTTTTATTCAACGTAATAAATTACAAGTGCGTGCTCTTGACGCTCACAAACTGCGCCAACTCGGCGGTCAAATAAAAATAATAACCTGAAAAGAAACTAAAGACAAGACTCTAACTACGAGGCTCTCTAAAAGTAACTAACTCACCGCGTTTTTACAATACCGCTGCTAAATTCAGCAAACTTGAAGATCACTTGAACGATTAACACTACTTCCAGGCAAGCACACAGGCCGAAAACGCGGGGTTCTTCAATTTCTGGCCAACTGCCTCCGCGCTCGTGAAGTAAGAATATCACACCTCGAACTCGTTTCCTTTCTATTTAAATCAGAATACTTCCGCTGATAATTTGAATCCTTGCGCGTTCTACTAAAATTTACATACTCTGGCATTGGCAGTTCCAGGGGAAAGTAAGGCTTGACAGGAAAGATAGTTTAAACTTAATAAATGTTAGTTAAAATAAATATAAACCCTACAAACTCATTAATTGTTTACTGACCGTAAATAGAATAAGCGTAGGTATGCAAAAACTTATTTTGCTAAAATTTTGTTGTAAGTATCTATTTTTCGGCCATGCATTGGATTTTACCATTTTTAGAGCATCCTCATAGTGCCCAGCATCAATACTGTATCTAACGATTGCGAAATAGCAGCGATATATTTCATTAACCGTTCGATAAAAGTACCATCGTAAAAGCAAGGTATGTATCAGTGCGTATCAAACCCATTTCTAAAAGTATTATACCCCAAGTGAAACTCTTTTTCAGACTGAGATTCTGTTAAGAAACCGACAGAGGAGCTATAACAGTCCCCCTCGGAGAAAGGCTTTTACCATTAATTTACTTTTACCATAATTACCAAAAAATTTAATTCACTTACAGGCTTAAAAAATTGAAATCGTTTTAACTTCTTTAAAATGAAATTAATTAAACCTTGTAAAAAATCATTTAATAAATAACAGGCAAATGTTAATTTAAACCAATGTAATCTAAGTTTAACAATCATTCACTTCTTTCAATAAAGGCACATTTTATGCCAAAATATTCAGGCTTAATCATGCAAAAGTTAACAAATTATAAAGTTTCTTTTGATTATTTTACATTATATTGTAATAGCTTATAAGTTAGCTAAGATAAAAAAAATGTGTGTAGGTACAGAAATTTATTCTGCAGTTAACGCAGTCTTAAAACTATTATTAGATTATCATAACTACGAGTAAAATAATGAATCGTAAAAGTGTACCAGGTGTGATAATTTTCCTGCCAGTGGTTCTAAGAATTAGGTAAGGATTCTTTTAAGACAGAAGAACTAAAAAATACTAGTGTAACATAATAATTTTTGACTAAGAAAATATTATAGTAAAAGAAGAGTTAACTCATTTATTACAAAACTACCTTCTTTTGATCCTGTATTAAATAATAATAATAAAAAAACACGACGTAAGAAGCTGTGTATAATGTCAAACGATAGAAATCTAATATTCCTTCTTTACACGATTAGAAACGTATTTCTCTATCCCATTTTCAAAATTTTCCCCGTTTTCTTTAACAGTCGAATGATTTTCCAAATTTCCTTTGGTTGTAAAGTACCCCTATAAGGTATCGAAATAGAAATTTAAAAAAAAAAAGAAAAAACTATTTTATAAAAATTCTTATATTTGATGAAATTTACCATCTCCTTCCCCATTGTAGTGGGGAAAATAACCAAATGTTAAAAACAGAATTCACGGGGAAAGAATTACAGAAATGAATAATTTCGAACACACGAAATATTATCACAAGGGTTCTCAACTAAGGCGGGAACTCACCCTTAGTTTCAGAAAGAAACGCAGTCAGCCTTTTATTTAACTGTTACATTTACGGCAAAGCACTGGAGGGCTCTGTTTTTTATCGCTTAATTTTGAAACACATTAAACAATAATCTAAATCTAAAAAATACGTATTTATTTTACGAATTTAAGAAAGGGGAGGGAAATGATCTAGCAATGTTGAAAGGGATGCATCGGCAATTAAAACAAGATGAGAACCATTGCATTATCAAAAGCGAAAGAAATGAAAATTTTACAGTATGGAAGGAGAAGAGTCCAAAGAGTTTATTGTTTGGTAATAATGAACATTATAAAAAAATTAAGAAGGATTAACTGATATGTTAAGTTGAGCAATAATCATTAGAAGAATAACTTGAAGGACAAATTATAGTCACTGGAACCTAAAACTTATGATCATAAACTCTTTGCTAATTTATTCACATTTTCTTTTTCAATTTTTAACTGAAAAACTACACAATCAACTGATGAATTAAATTATTTTATTACAGCACGCAAAATTTTATTTCCTAAACGTTTGAGTTCTTGTTTCCATGTTATGCTTCTTTACAGATTTTAAAATAAGCTTTATTCAATTAAATAAATTTTAAAAAGTTGTCAAGCTTTTAGATGTTTCTAAGCTAAATATAGTTGTTTTCCTTTGCAGCAGTGATTTACTTCCTTCAGACATGTCTTCCCAGGTGATGAACAGTGCCTTCATGGCTCCTCGCGGAATGCTTGGTGCCCCAGCCCCAGTCCATCTAAGTGCTCCAGTGCCTTCTTATGATGGTGCATTCTATCCTTACCAGAGGAATGCCACCGTCGTCGACACTGTGTCTAGCGACATCTTACATATGGTACACGAGCACTGGTATCAGTTTCCACCTCTGAACCCCCTGTGGCACAGCCTTTTAGGTTTGGCTATGATCGTTTTGGGAATCATCAGTGTTATTGGCAATGGGATGGTTATCTATCTCATGACAACAACTAAGGTAAGAATACTACAGTCACGGCGAATGTTACTTGAAATTTTTTCCATCTTAATTTTATTGTAGGTGAAAATGGGCTTTGCCAGCTCATATATTTAATAAGAAATGAGAAGTTTGAGAGTAATCGAAACAGTTTCATCTCAGGTTTTCCAAATTCTACAATGTTCGCAGTTACAGTTTTGATTCCAAAGAAATGTATTTTACCCATAAAATGTGAAAATTTGATATTTCGGCAGTGATTTTAAGAATACTGAAAAATCCACCGATTTCTATTAGTACAGGAAACAGTATTAGTAATGCTATGAGAATATATGTATTACTCTAAAGAGGCAGATATGTTTAATAAAGTGCATATATGTATATGTATATATATATACTTTTAGATATTTTGAAGAGAGCTGACAAATTTTGAAAATATTCAACTGAATTAAATAAAAATAAAATTTAAAATTATTTTTGTCTCTTAATATCAACAGTGCATAGCACACGAATATTATAAACGAAGAAGCTGTCTCAAGAAATCTGTTCTATGAGTGTAGAAGAGCAATACCCTTTTTCAATTAATGAAATTCCCCAAATAATACCTTTATTCGCTTATCTGCAAGTGCTAATCTCAAAAACGAATCCTCAGAATTTTATAAATAAAATTAGAAAGAATAATTTGCGGTGAATTTATTGAAGTATGGAAAATTGTTAATAACTCGAGTGTTTTATCACAGTCTTCGTTTTATTTGAGACTTAGATATCCACGCGATTTCAGAAATCTGCAGTTAAACGCTTCTGCAAATATTTTAATGCTACATTCATTAGAACTTACAACACTTGCAGTTAATATAAACTTAACATTTTAAAAAATTAAACTGATATGAATTCCCACACTCCTATTATTTAGTCTGATACTGCAAATTTACCATGCTTTATAATATCTGAATTATTACCATTTTTTACAAATAAACTTTAATTTAAACTAAATTCAAGAATTTCATTAAAAATTTTTCTTTTCTGAATACATTTTCTCTTCCTTAAAGTTTATGTGTAAGAAGATGAGAACGAAGTTAAAATATAGAAATAACCTTAGGATATACCTTAAATATATATCTAAAACAACATCTATTTGAACTTAGTAATAATAAAAATCATATGATATCGTTATGAGCTTGAAAATGAAGAAAGTGTTTTAACATAGACAAACTAAAATACTCTGTTTAAGTAGGGACATAAGCAAAAGCTTAAACGACCTTGCTAATACTATCAGTCAGGATACGTAAGCTTATATACTGTATTAGAATTACAATTTTACCTTAAGTAAGACTTGCTGAGTTTGCTGACAAGGATCTTCATAATCGTCAAACTGTTGTGTATGACTCATACTAGACGTAGCGAAAGCATTAGACGGCGTCTAGCATGACTATTTTACAAATTAATAAACCGGAAATTTCATACAGAAATCATACTTCAAATTATTTCCTTCATTAAAAATAGGACATTTACAGTTAGTATTGGTAAAGTAGAATCAGATTTAAGAGAAACTAGAGCTGGAGTTCCACAGGGCCTATTCTCTTATCTTAGGCCCTATTCTCTACCTCTTCTACATGATGGACTTTCCCAAACCAGTAAACTATTTAAAGTATTTTAAGGGCCGATGATGCCGCCTTCGTAGTCAATTTAGCAAACGCAAACCATGCGTTCCAAAAGCTCCAAGAGTTAGTACCAATAACTGAAGACTGCACAAAACGGAGAATATACATCAATGCCTATAAATCTCAGCTGCTACTTATTGTAGAAAGCACATGAATATATTATCTAGGAAAAACCTCATTCTTTTTGATGAAATTATTCCAAAAGTTCGCAAAACCAATTATCCTCGTATCACTTTCAATAGCTAACTTAATTGGAAGGATCACATCGAAAATTTTAAGAATAAAGCAACAACAGTCGTCAACTGTCTTTTTCCAATTATTGGTAATTATTCCAAATTAAACCTAAGAAAGAAAATCTCATTTTTATCTCAACTGTGGGTCCAGCCATTATATATGCTTCATCGACTTGGATAATTGATACCGAAAAAGACCTTCTCAAACTCCAAGAAGTGCAAAGAAAGTATTTACGCATCATTACTAACGCGCACTTCTACATGCGCAATCTAAGATTGCACGAGGACCTCACTATTGACATTATTGATAGGTTTTCTCAACAAAATCAATAGAAATTTCTCCAAAAATGCTGCTGCTAGTAACCATCTCATGAATTTTTTAACTTGTTTAAATGCGAAATTTCTGAAGAGCATAAAGAATTGTGTCCTTATGCTGCACATCTCCCAAGAGATTTAAATTTTTCAACATAAACTCTACACATGCACTCCTATATTTGTGTATATTGCATATAGTTATTTTTTCCCTCTATTTGAATTTTCTGTTTATATTTTGTGTATTTCTTTGTTTATTACTATGATCTCATATTCCAATCCATCAGGACTCTAGTTGGATCTCCCAAACCAAGGAGGAAATAGTCTCCCGTCTTCCACATTTGTTAAATTTTCTCTTCTGGAAATTACACTTGATATATTTTAACGTGGCATGACTTTAGGACAACAATTTTACTGAGTCGGTCCCATTACGAAATTCACAATATCTCGTCATAACGTTACCGATACCGATACAACTATACTTCATAGTCGGGCATGTCTCGGACTTAAAAATTAAAAATCAACTAAACGTGTCGTGGGCTTCAAGCCTAACTTTTGCTATAAAAATGTATATAGTATATCACTCATATTTTGGGCTAACGTACTTCACGTACACAAATGCATACTTGAAAGGAATTTCGAATTTGACGTAAAATTTTCTAATTACATATTTACTACTAAAATAGTTAAATAAACATAGTATTTAAATTTTTGGTGGAAGTAAAAAAAAAGGCTAATTTATTACGGTGTATTTGTTAAAAAAAACTCACAAATTGAAACTTCAAGCTAAATATATACAGGTGAAATTAAATATAGGGCTCAACGAGTATATTTTACATTTTACTATCACATGCGTAGAATATTCATGCGAAAGAAATAATTTTCTATAATAATTAGCATTCACAGTCATTACTATTACCATCAAATATGCACTTTAAAAATGATAATTTGTGAAAGAATTTAATATTTAATGAACATAAATTAAGATTAGAAATTTCTATAATTCGTATCTTAAACCCTTATTATTTTGCTAGTGTAAAGAGTTGTTTCATAATTTTAACATTGTTTAATTTTTTGCAGAGCCTCAAGACACCAACAAACATGTTAATTGTAAATCTTGCTTTCTCGGATTTCTCAATGATGGCCTTCATGATGCCCACTATGGCCGCTAACTGTTTCGCCGAAACGTGGGTCTTGGGACCACTTATGTGCGAAATATACGGGATGGCTGGCAGTCTTTTCGGCTGCGTTTCCATCTGGACCATGGTAATGATCGCATTCGACAGATACAACGTCATCGTCAGAGGTATGTCTGCAGATCCTTTAACTAGCAAGAAAGCAGCAATTCAGATCCTTTTAGTGTGGACCTGGTCAGCTGTATGGACTCTTCTTCCGATGTTCGGCTGGAACAAGTACGCTAACTATATTTTTGTAACAGCAATAAAGTGTATGAAAACACAATTTATGGACAATTCTTAATCTTAAACATGATAAAGAGTTGTTTGGTGGAAAATTTTAATTTTAAAAGCAAATCAATATTCCAAATTATAACAAGTATCTTCACAAGTACTACTTGTCCAGGAGCGGTCAAGTGTCTGATGATACCAAATTTTATAAAATGTTCAGATTAATCGGAATTAATTTGAAGAAAAAGAGTAACAGTCCTCTAAATAATTAAAGACACTTTTCAGATATCTCGCCTTAATCTGTAAGATGTTCAGATATGAAGGCCCCATTTCCTGCTTAGCTAATATTGAGATACTTAACACTTCGCGTGGTGTATCTATCATTTGGGAAACTTAACTTCTATTCCACACAGTGTAATATTTTATCATTAGTTAAAGCTACTAATAACATTAACTACATAATTTGTTACTAAACATTTCATTATAAGAAAAACTTGAAATAGCAGATTTTTTAACTGATTTCCTTTCATTTGTGGCAGGTATGTCCCCGAAGGTAACATGACTAGCTGTACCATCGATTACTTAACGAAAGACTGGTCATCATCTTCATATGTTATCTTCTATGCCCTTGCTGTTTACTTTATACCTTTATTTACCTTGATCTACAACTACACATTCATCGTTCGTTCTGTCGCAGAACACGAGGAGCAACTCAGAGAACAAGCTAAAAAGATGAACGTTTCATCTCTCAGAGCTAATTCGGATCAGCAAAAGCAGTCCGCTGAATGCAGACTTGCCAAGGTATGCAAACTACTTTTTTAACTATATTTTACAAATATGTGTATTTAGAATACAGAATTGAACATAACGTATTAACGAATAATGCAAGAGAATAACATAACGTATTGACGAAATTACAGTCTTATTTCAGTGGTAAGTATCTTATATAAAAAAAATCAACTTATAAACTTCTACAAAGTAAGCATTGCTCTAGTACTTCCCACTTAAATTTGTTTCTTGTGAGCCAATAGTTGAATGTAATGCCAAAATGCTTTATAAAAAATAAGTTACGTCATATAGATTGTCCTACTTTCCGCAAAACTTTTTTTTTTCATATTTTAGTTTCAAATGCAGGCAGAAGTGTAACCTTAGTTAAATCTTAAATATCATAGCAGACTTAAAACGCTATTATTAATATGTGAAGCTTCTTTTTTTAATGACGATAATCCAAAATGAAAACATTCTTTTCATTCATTATTCCTCAGTACTAAACCCAGTTTTTATACATATGCTAACTTTTAGAAGAGTGAATATTACACATTTGAGTTTGTTTGTTGTTTTTAATAGATTGCCTTGATGACTGTCGGATTGTGGTTCATTGCATGGACCCCATACCTCAGCATTGCATGGAGCGGTGTTTTCAGTTCAGGAAAGCGCCTTACTCCTTTAGCCACCATCTGGGGAGCTGTATTTGCCAAGGCAGTTGCAGTCTACAACCCCATCGTTTATGGTATAAGCCATCCCAAATACAGAGCAGCTTTGCACCAGAAATTCCCAAGTCTCGCATGCACTACAGACAGCGGTGACCATGGAAGTGACACCAGGTCTGACACCACAGTCGCTTCCGATGAGAAACCGCCAAAAGGTTCAGAAGCATAATTTTTTTAAAAACTAAATCTTTCTGTTTCAAGCCTGTAAAGTTGTACGCTTTGCAACTTTTTCTAAATGGTTTATTCCATTTTATAGACTTGTAGAAGTATTGCTGAAATTCTGCATTAATAAAGCTGCCTTCATTATTTTTGTTTTTGATTTCTTTGTTCAGATTTGTCATATTTGTTTTAAAGACATATTTATAATTAAATATCACTTGTCATGAATACTGGATCAGGGAGTAATAATAAAATGGGTATGATAATTCTACAAGAACCAATGCGTAAAATGTTGAATATAAAATTTCTGCTCCAATTACATAAAACAACGAATTTCTTGACTACGAAAATGTGAAATGATCCCCCTCTGTTTCATCATGCGCTAAACGCATTCTCTAGAGACTAACGTGATACTTGTAAAGTAATAAGAAATACCTGCATGCATTTTCAATTATAAGAAACAGCGAATCCTTATGAATATTTCTTTACGAGTAAACTAAATTAACTATTAAATGCGCGCTTGCTTAACCTATCTATCTTTGCTTCAGAAGACTTCTGATTTTCGCACTTAACTGAAAGTATAAAACTCCAAAAGATGCAGACAGTTGGAGAGAAATTATTTAATCTAGTTCTGCTTAATATAATAATATGGATTGCTAAATATTGTAATCGACTACTGTGCATTAGAATTACAGTAAAATTTACAAATCTGTTCAGTATAATTTCATCTTAATCCCATATGTCAATTACTCTATCAAATGAATAAAGCTAAATCTTAATATGTTATAATATCATTAAAAACAAAACAAGTAACATTATGAAATATGAAATGAAATCGCTAATGGTAACCACTTACATAAACCTCCACTGGTGAATGTGACTAATGCTTTTGAAATGCAAATATAATATAGGCGTTGAGTATCAATCCTCCAAGTCGACCATCTCCACTGAAGGTACATATCATATAAAACCTGGATTAAGGTTTAGTGATTTTAATTATCTAACTTAACTTCGGAAACTTTTAAAATTATTATACTTTATGGAATTCATTAATACTAAGAAACACTGAGATTTTGTTACACGTCCAAAGAGAATTTTTCTCCCATATAAATTTCATAATTAATAAATTCCAAATGAATTAAAACAAGTTCTAAAGAAATATCGAATTTCCTGCCATATATTATGTTCAGCCTTATTGAACAGACCATGGACAAAAATTTTAAAACGAGAGTTAACCAATTGTTAAGATTAAAATATTTTTGATAGTTTGTTGAGAGAAGAATAAGGGAAAAAATAATAATCTGAATTTATTCGTTGCACGAAATGTTTTCTTTTCGCTAGTATGATTTATGTTCTTACTAGTAAGCTCCGATTCTATAACGAATAGAGTAATGCTGTAAGGATCTTAAGTTTTACTAACGTTTATTTTATTTTAAATCTTTACTATCACTTCTTATTTTCTACTTCCGGCCAGAATTAAAAGCTTTAACTTATTTATGCAAATTTGTCTTGCGAACGCCAAGTACTTAAGTTGTGGCTTTTTGCCAAGCAAGAGAGAGGAAGGAGTGATTAGGAGCGGGCCGCTTGCCATTGCAGTTTTACTCGGTTGCTGGTTGCCTTCAAGGCCAGAGGTTTAATCCTCTTGATAATTTTAAACGTATCGTAGTGTTAACAGTTCTCTGTACTACATACGGCCTTTCTGTTAATATACGGCCAATCTTCAAGTAGAGACTTGTTTATTAATCCAAAGTTAGTTTAGTTAGAATTTAGTTAATATTTTTATATTCTTACGTTCAGACCACAAGTGGTTGGTCTCTGTATTCCGAAGTCCGGAAATCATTGTAAAGAGAGAAAAATAAAGGGTTTCGTATACCCTTCCTGTGTATCTTGTCTACTTCCCACATTTATTGAACATAGCTTTAGTAAGCTCCCTGTTCCGAGTCAGGTCATTTAATGTTCCCCAAGCAAGTAAGGAGGAACACTGAACCTGATAATGCTTTAAATTAAAATGACTAACTAACGTACCTGTTTACTGTACAATGTTTAATACGTTCAATACTGTATAATATTCCGTTGTTTACAATACCCAATGATTTATCTTGAATAATTTTTGATCAGTTAATACTGATGTTGACTCTCGTCGAGAGCACGGCAAGAAATAAACTTTTTTTGTTTTCTTATATACAAATGAAAATTTTGGTACCATTTTGTTATCGAGAACGGATTCAGATATCGCCATAGCTGATGATCAGGAGTTAAATTCGAAGCATAAAAATAATCACCAAATATTTAAAGTTGAAGAAAAATCCAAGGAAAAAAATATCATGACAGATATATGTAAAATTAGAGATTTTTAAAGTAAATTAAACAACTAGCCAAACAAATCAGGGAAGAAAAAACTGAGAGTTTTCAGATTTTACGGTCACTCAAAAGGATTTGTTAAGGTTTTCGTACGTTGTCGCTTAGCTCGCAGTCTACATAGGCTACTGTTGCACTCACTCCTGCTAACCAATTTGTTTTGCACTTTTATCTTTATTTTTAAGCATCATTTTATTCACACTTCTGCCCTATAAAATTCAACAGAAAAATCACAAAATTTTTATTTAATTTAATAAAATTTAGAATTTCCGATGCAGTGTTAATTGTCAGTTGATTCCGATTAAGATTAATAATTTGATTCCAGTTAAGTTAAATAATTTTGTTTCATACTGCATATTTTATGCATCCCCTTCAAACAGAAAAAGGCTTGGCGAGAGAAAAGCGCCTTTTGAGAAGAAAGCAGTAACGTTAAAGCAAGAAGAGGAACTGTGGCGAATATTTACAAAATTTTCCACAGCCTGGGCTTCCCGGGCTACATCACAAACATCATTAAATCTCACCTTACTGGTAGACACTTTGTCGTTCACAGCACTGGTACACTATCCATCCGCCTCGCCATAAGGGCCGGTGTCCCACAAGGTAGTCTTCTTGGACCTACCCTTTTCAATATTTATGTGAACGAAATCCCTACAACATCAAACACAGCATTAGCTATGTACGCTGATGACACAGCGATCCTAGCACAAAGCACATTTGTTCGTCCAGTAGTTCAACACTTGCAAGAACACATACAAGCACTAGAGACTTGGCTTAAACAATAGAAAATTGAAGTAAACGTTCAGAAAACTAAAGCTGTGCTGTTCACCAAAAAGAAGAAAATAAACTATCACCTAAAATTCTATGGACTGTCATCCCTTGGTCTAAGCAGGTCCCTTACCTTGGGGTGATCCTCAACAATACTCTCACATGAGCCCCACATATTACACATATTATTCAAAAGTTTCGAGTGCGTAAAATGAACTCTACCCCTTAATTGCTCGAAACAGTGCTTTATCCCTAGAAAATAAGTTACTTATTTACAAGCCCATTTTGCGTCCCATGTTGTGCTATGCTTGCCTGGTATGAGCATTTGCTTCTAAAAACCCGTCGTAAGAAACGTCAAACTGCACAAAATGCAGTACTTCGGCAAATTACTAACTTCCCGTGGTATGTTAGAAACAATAGAATTCATGAGGAACTGAAAGTTGTCCAACTAAGATCTTTCTAGTATAAAATTGCCAAGAATTTTCACGAGATGCAAAATAGCATTGATAATCCTGCAATCAAAATCTGTACCTATAACTACAATGATCTTGATAATTTGAATTGACCACTTTCCATTCTAAATGTATGGAATATGTAACGTGTACTTTTTTCATGTTAACTGTGCAATTTTATTTATGGTAATGTAATTGTATGTATACATTCAATCTCACTTGGCACTGAGAAACTAGCACTAACCCTTTCTATTGCAGAAATTTGTACAACTCATTCATGCATTTGTTGCTCTCAGTGAATTCTGTCCCTCTATTTTATAGAAATATATATATATATATATATAGTATATATAATATATATATATATATAGTATATATATATATTAATTAGATGAAAAAGAACTATTAAGCCTTTTGTACAGCTTGACTACCTGCTGTATCAGCCGGACTACCTGCTGATAGTTCTCTTCTCTCATGATTCGAAGTTACTTGCACGTTCTACAAAGGGTAGGGTCTCTGAACCCAGGTACTCTGGTGTTTTGACACCCTTAGACTGAATCGAACTATTTACAACATTTACAACTGCAATAAAAAAGTATATGAAGTGATGCATGGACAGATCGTTTAGGTTTTCACTATTCCTCGTCATTTGTTTTGGGAACTTTCCCATATTTGAATGCAGAACAACATACAAAAACATAATTTAGAAATATAAAAACAAAATATTGCACAATTGCCGAGATGTAATTTAAGTTCAGTTTGAAAGTCTGTAACAAATAGGTTTATAAAATTCTTAAATTATTGTTAAGACATTTTCTCCAAATGTCCTGAATTTGGAGTTGCTATCAATCATTGAGAAGGCTCAGAGTTTTTGAAAAGGAATTCTGAATTTTAGAGTCAGCTGGAAGTCTTGTAAAAGCATGTGTTATATATATATATATATATGTCAATATGAGATCAAAATGCTTTTAGTATATAGCTATAAAATTATTTTATGCAGTATAAAATAAATTCAGATTTTTTTTTATTGTAGAGCAATGTAATAGTTAATTTATAAAAACAAAGAAAAGACAGTATAATAAAGTTCGAAAAAAATGGCAGGTCCTGTATAAGCGAATCAGTCGGACTACCTGCTGATAGTTGTGGGATGTTTAAATACAGTTACACATAGACTTCTGTTTCTTATAAAAGGTAACAGATTTTTAGTATTGTGTTGTGGGAACTAGTTCTCTTTGCTATCATTCAGTACATCGGATTAGCATTTAAGTAGATCTAATCACAACTAGAGATATACTTGAATATTAATCCTTGCACATTCTTGCAAGGATTGGAAGATGACTACAACAGGTGAAGATGGCGGAGGACGGGGACACCTGTTGTCTAACAAAGATAAACAGGTATATGTCCTACTTCTTCCCCCTATCTAGAACCGGTAGCTCCCTCGAGTCCCAGGAGGTTTGTCTCAGGAATGCATTTGCTTCTCTGTGAAGTCGCATGAACAAACAGGAACCAGGGTGATATTGCATGGATGATTTAACTATATGAATAATATAAGCATCCCTTGTTAGAATGCATT